TACATGTGCATGGTTAAATAGAAAGATTTCTCCTTGGTGTTCTGTTTATCCATTTATTGTTTGAAGTAAATCCCCAAGGAGCACATTTGCTTTGCCCAGGGGAGTCTTTTGCTGCATACTGCTGTACATAATGAAAACTAAAAATGGGGCTAACTATTCAGCCTTGTGACCTTGTGGTGATTCAAATAGAGGCTTCATCAAAGGCAGATCCAGAAATGAACTTGGCATGTGTAGGTGGTTTTCCTTGGCATTATTGTTTGTAAGAGTATGATAGTGATGACTTCAGTGTCCACCAACAGGGAACTGGTTAAGTAAACTGTGGTACATCCTAACGATGAATACTGTGCAGTTGTAAAGAAGAATAAGAAAGACCTCTGTAGAAAAACTCACATATATTGTGTGTGTGTTTTAAAAGGAACAAGGAATGGCATCGTATGAATGGTATGCTACTTTTTGTGTTGAGAGAGGAGTAGAATAAGAATATACATGTGCATTTGCAAAGATAAATTCTGAAATGATATATAAGAAACCAATTAAAATTGTTTGGCTGTGGAAGGAGAATAAGACTGTGAATGGGATTTTGTCACATACATTCATAGTTATATTTAAAAATTTTCTGAACGATGTATTTGTACACATGACCCTTTTAAAAATAAGTGAATGAGGAAATGAAGTAGGATTATGAGAAAGAGATAGGAACAAAGGATCTAAGGGGCTGCCCATCTTTTTAGTACCCAGTGAATATTAATACATAACAATAGCAGCAAAAATTGGAAGAGTAGCCCCAGGAGGGTAGGGAGTCAGCCTTTCCTTTGTCTTTTCCTCAATTTCATATGTTAAAAAATAACTGAGAACAAGAAAACAATTTGAAATAAAAATGTCTCCAGATCTCTTAAAAGGAAGATGGGGCAGTGTTATGTAGTGCACTTCCCAAAAATGGGCTGATCTACATCAAGAGGCAGGGATTCTGACCTACACGGGAAACATACAGGAGAAAAAAATAAGAAAAAGAAAAGAGATTTAAATACAAATACATGAAAATAGCAATTCTCCCTGATTGTATAGGAAATGATCCCTTTTGTAATTGTTTGGATGACAAATATTAAGAAAAATCTTTAATTTGCCACTCAAAACATTCTGGTTTGTTACTTTTTATATGTTTTTATGCATATAAACCTTTTAAAAAGTAGAATCATAATACTTTTGTCACGTAGTATATTTTGGGCATATTTCTGTGGCAGTCGATATATCCTGGCATCATCATTTTTAACAGCTGGATGTATATTAAGTTAATCATTGCCACCCCAGAGGTGAATTTTCTTATATATACATTTTAATGGAGTTGACCAAACATTTTTGGACTGGATTCATAGAAGTAGAATTTCTGGAGGAAAATAATTTTTAGGGTTTTTAATCAAAATTTTCAAATTATCCTCCAGGAAAAGTGACTCAGGTTATACTCCCACTAACAAGGACAGAGCTCCAGGTACCCCCTTCCATTTGTCATCTTTTGTGCCTTTATACAGAAAATCTCACCGTTTTCATGATTTTTTTTTATTTTTAGTGCTTTTGAATCTTTCTATATGCCATTGGCCATTTTTATTCTTGTGAGAAGTGCCAGTTTCTCCATTGCCCATTATTAGTTGAAATTCATTTGTTTTTCTTTTCTTAATAATTTTAAAGATTTCTTTATAGACTAAGGATACAAACCTTTTATCTGTCATTGAGGTTACAAAAACTCTCTCCCATTAAGTAACTTGTCATTTCATTTTTTCTTCCTTTATTTCCCTTCCCTTCCCTTTCCTCTCCTTTTCTTTTCCTTCTTTCTTTCTTTCTGCATTCTTTCTTTCTCCTTCTTCCTTCCTTGCCATTCTTACTTTGGTTTTTTCTCCCTTTTTCCCTCTTTCTCTCCCTTTCTTTCTTTCTTTTTCTTTTTCTTTCCTCTGTCTTTCTCTCTTTCTTTCTCTTTTTCTTTCTTTCCCTCTCTCTCTCTTTCATCCCTTCCTTTCTTTCTCTTTCTTTGTTCCCTCCCTCCCTCCCTTCCTCCTTGCTTCGTTACTTCCTTCTTTCTTCTATCTGTCATTTCTTTCTTTCTTTCTTTCACTAGCCAAGCTCCAAAGTCACATTTCACTTAATTTTTATCCTACCAAATTTGAAAGCCTTTTAACTGAGTGATTTTAGTGTAAACAGGGAGCAGGAGAAAATGTAATTATCTAAGTTTCACTCTGACACCCAGGCTGGAGTACAGTGCCGTAATCATAGCTACTGCAGCCTCAAACTCCTGGGCTCAAGCAATTTTCCCACCTCAGCCTGCCAAGTAGCTAGGACTACAGCTGTGTGCCACCACGGCCAGATAATTTTTAAATTTTTTTGTGGAGACGTCAATTCGCTATGCTGCCCAGGCTAATCTTGAATTCCTGACTTCAAGTAATCCTCCCACCTTGGTTTGCCAAAATGCTGGGATTACAGGCATGAACTACTGCTCCTGGTGGAGAGTTTAGTTTTGATTGGTAGTGGTGTTCTTGGTATCTTTTCATATTTGAGGCTTTGGGGCTAATGCTGAAGTATTGCACTCACCATTCGAGGTTTACAGGACTTTTGTTTCAATGTTGAACAGATGGAACTTTTTGGTTCTGCATCTTTGCAGGTATACAAAATGTGCCTACCAGGAATCTGCTTTATATTCATGGAAAGCAAGAAATAATACAATAAAACTTTGCCTGGCTAGAGGCTTTGAAAGAATGGTGTATTCTGGTTTAATTCTATTAAATTGGAAGTATGAAGGTGAAAAAAACTCAAATTTCCTGTTGAATGCAATTTGGAAATATAGCCAGTGATTCCACTCTTCTTCTCTAGTAAGGTTGGACATTCCAATCTACTTGATGTTTTATGATAGAACTGCTAGTGTGCCTGAGTCTCACATTGTGAAGATACATTTTTCAAACTTGAGGTGTAAGAGGATGTAAATGGTTTTGTATGAGATCAGGCTGGATGAGAACTGACACTTGTAAATATATATTTTAGACTAAATCTCTGATTGCCACTTGTTTTCTAATTAACTCATAAAAATAAAACACGTTGGATGGAGGGTGGGAGTAGGAAGGAGATTTATGACTTTTAATTGCATGTCATTGTTGCATAACAAGGCAAAACATATGGTATCCCTGGCTTGGACCTACAGAAGGAAACATATTTTTCTACCTGCTGTATGCCAGAGGTTCTTGAACACCTGGAGGGACTACTGCAGCACAGACTGCTGAGCCCTACTCCAGAGTTTCTGATTCACCAGGCCCAGGATGGGACCTGAGAATTTGCACTTATAAAAAGATTTCAGGTGTTGCTGGTGCTGCTAGTCTATAGACTACATTTTGAAAACCACTCTTGTCTATTAACTGTAAACTGTAGAATTCTAGAAAAAAACTTAGTTTGGTCTGGGATAAGAGGCACACAGGTTATGGAGAAAATCATGAAAGATTCAACCCTTGATCCCAGCCTAGTGTGGAATTCAGGTAACAAGCAGTACACAGTGACATAACATAATTCTCGGTTTTCATGATTGCAAATCATAGCCAAGTATCAAGTGAGAAATTCAGTTTCATTTGCAAGGCTTAGAGAGGTCAGGTGATTCTAGAATACTGGGACTTATATTTCTCTTAAACAAGTAGAGAGTTTTAAGTGCTTATTAAATTGAAAGCTTTGTGTTCTTACTTATTTTGTGTTTTATTTTATTTCTTTTGAGATGGAGTCTTACTCTGTTGCCCAGGCTGAAGCGCAGGGGCGTGAGCTTGGCTCACTGCAACCTCCGTCTCCTGGGTTCAGGTAATTCTCCTGCCTCAGCCGACCAAATAGCTGGGATTACAGGCACCCACCACCACGCCTGGCTAGTTTTTGTATTTTTGGTACAGACAGGGTTTCATCATGTTGGCCGGGTTGATCTTGAACTCCTGACCTCAAGGCGATCCACCCACCTTGGCCTCCCAAAGTGATGGCATTACAGGCGTGAACCACCACACCCGGCCCAAAAGCTTTGTGTTTTTAAAGATATTAGACATGTTTATCATTTAAAAAAAAAAAACTTCGTAATGTAGGAGAATAAGAGAAACGTTCTTCCAAAAAAGAGAAATCATTGTGATTATTTTGTCTTATTGGAATGTTGGATACTATAGTCTACTTCATTAATCATCAAGCATGCTATGAATTTTCCATTTTTATAGGACCTGTATCTCAGTGAAGGTGATACTGGTAATTCTTGTACTCCATTTGAAGATGAAAAATATAGGCCAACCTCATAGACTTTGCATAGAAGCTGGATAATGAAGACAGCTCTGGAGGAACGCATAGATACACACACACGGACACACATATATATAAAGTATACACATGTATACATTTTTAAGTTTATTTTTTACAGTTTGTTTTTTTTTGTTTGTTTGTTTTTGTTTTTTTTGTTTTTTTGTCTCTGTCCCCCTTGCTGGAGTGCAGTGGCCGGATCTCAGCTCACTGCAAGCTCCGCCTCCCGGGTTCAGGCCATTCTCCTGCCTCAGCCTCCCGAGTAGCTGGGACTACAGGCGCCCGCCACCTCGCCCGGCTAGTTTTTTTGTATTTTTTAGTAGAGACGGGGTTTCACTGTGTTAGCCAGGATGGTCTCGATCTCCTGACCTCGTGATCCACCCGTCTCGGCCTCCCAAAGTGCTGGGATTACAGGCTTGAGCCACCGCGCCCGGCCTATTTTTTACAGTTTTAAAGATTTTAAAGCAAAAGGCAGACCCTTGCCTCTCCCAGAGTGGGCGGCCCCTCCCCTCCTTCTGAGTAGAGCGGAGAGAGCGGTTGCATGGGCAGCTTTCCTTGTGATGCCACAGGTCCCTCTGGACATGCTGCCACCTGGCCATGCTTCCTTTCCCTTTCATCTTTCTCACTGACCAATGGGCTTGGAGCATTAAGGCCACGCCCCTCTTCTGAGTTCTAGTGGGGCCCTGGTTACTCCTCCTCTGGCTCAGTTGCACAGCGGCCTGGTAGGTGACTGGAGGCATTCAGCCGTGCTCACTGGGATTTCGCTGATGTGACCCCAACCCCGCCTCCCTCCGCACCCCATGATGTCAGAAAAAACACGACAGGGAAAATTCACCACAGCCAAGAAAAAGGTAAAATGCACCAGGTCATAGCCCCCAACCCATCCACAGATCCTCTCCGACGACAAGACCATGGCCAGAGCCCATACTATTCCTCAGGCATAGCGGAATGGGACCCCCAACACCAGCGACTCTGGGTTCCCCCCACCAAATTCTTGTCAGTCAGCCCCACCCCTTCAGCAAGCAGCCGAATCCCTGCCCTTGCCGATCTTTACCCCAGGGTGACTTTGGGTTGGTGACTCCTGGGGCTCCCCGCTCCATACTCGGCCCTCACCTCCTGCTGCCCCAAGCCTGACCTTCCTGGACAATTTGTGCTTGTGTCTCCCAGGACCTGGGTACCCCAGCCCCAGACCCCACCGTCGCCAGTCGTCCTTGGGTGACTTTTGGCTGGTGATTCCTGGGGCTCCCTACTGCGGACTCTGCCCTCCCCTCCTGCTGCCCCAAGCTCGACCTCCCTGGGATCCTTCGGCTGGTGTCTCCAAGGACCTGGGTCCGAACCCTGTGTTTCCCTCCCCCATCATGGATTGGTGACTTGGGCATCACGCTGATGTGGTCCCCTCCACTGGGAGGAATGGAATGTAGTGATGTCACAGTCCCCCTAGGAACTGTCATTACTGCTGCAAGACCAGCCTTTCATCTTACAACCCAGTCCCCTAAGTTTTCTCACCCCATTTCCGGATCCTCTGGTCACAGCACAAATTTCCAGTTGGAAGGGGAATGGGGACTATGGGACCCAGGAGCAAGAGGTTTCAGGCTGCCTTACTCCCTTCACATAGACATTGACAGTAGGAAAAGCCTGCACTTCCCCTGTGTGCTCAAAATGTTGACAGTATCTCTGGGTGGCCATGGGAGAACGGGTTTGGTTTGGTTTTCTCCCAGGCTTCTACTTTGCAGAGAGACTTTAACATTCTTTTCTGAGTTCTCCATGGTTCTGGGACCAGACCGCCCTTCAGTCAGTGGTCTCTGAAGTCAGATTTGCTCATCTTCAGTGGAGTAGATCTTGGGAAGCTGAACTAGATAGCTTGAATCTTCCTCATATCATCTCAACCTGGGGTACTTTGAGTGCCACAGGATGAATGTGGGACATCTTTCTGAAGCATCATTTTCCCTTGATTCTCTTCAGATCAAACATTAATGTCCTTAGGGATGACAGTCACGTAGGTTTCCAAGCATATACCAGACTTCTCTCTGAAATCAGGCTTGAGTTGTCCTCTTTCTGAAAAATTCCCAGATTTAACAGAAAAGCTGCCTTCTGCCCGGGCGACAGAGCGAGACTCCGTCTCAAAAAAAAAAAAAAAAAAAAAAAAGAAAAGCTGCCTTCTGCCATGAGGACACATTGATATGAAAGTGTGAGAGGTACTGGTGCACTTCTTCACACTAACGGACATGTGAGGATGTATGACTCTAAACCACACGGCATACAGTTCCTGCCTCCTTCATGTTTACTGTTCTAACTCCGCCCCTGGTTTTGGTCCCTGGAAGCTGCTGATTCATGGCAAAACCCCAGAGCTTGGAGTCAGAAGACTCCAAGCTTAAGTTCCAGTATTAACTATTTCTTTTTTTTTCTATCCATGATATCAATTCCTCTCAGTCACTAAAGGATTGTGACAACACCTTGTACAGTTGGTGGTGGCGTTAAATCAGATGGTGTATAAGAGTATTTTGTGAAAACTGTAAAGGAGGATGTGGCTGTAGGGGCTGATAGTTCTCATGAGTGTTACTGCTCTTTTTTCCCACAGTTAAAAGAATATTGGCAGAGGAAGAGCCCTGGCGTTCCAGCAGGAGCTAACAGGAAAAAGAAAATCAATGGCAGTAGCCCTGACACAGCCACTTCTGGTGGTCACCGCTCACCTGTGGATGTGAGTCTTGGCTGGCCAGGCTCCTGGGGACAGGGGACCCAAGGGGCAGTAGAGGATAATTGTAAAGATTGTGGATGGACTGTTGGGTACTGGTTAAGAATTCTGGGTTTGAATCCTGCCTCTCCATCTGCTAATGATTGATTAGGGATTAATTAGGATATGATTTAGGGCAAGTTGCTTGAGGTCTTCGGGTCTCTCTTTTCACATCTGTATAATAGAGGTGGGATTTTTTTACATCTATTTGTGAAGTTTAAATGAGATTTGTTATTGTTGTTTTTATGAGAATCCTTAGTACATGGCCTGCTGTAAACACCCAGGACACCCACGAAATGGTCCTGCAGTTTGATTTTTCTCATTCCCAGTCTCAAGGGGAAGCCAGACCAATGAGAAGAGTCACTTGCCATCAGGCTGTCCCTTTAGGAGTCACTGAAAGGGCCCCAGGGTGGGATGGTGGGGTGATAAAAACCATGAGAGAAGTTGGCACAAAGGAGTTATGGGACAACTGGTCCAAGATAGGTAGAAAAGAAATGTTTGTCAGTTGATGGGGAAGAAAGGAAGTCAGAGGGCTTAGACACTGAGGGGCGACAGAACATCTCCATGTGCACTTTCATCTCTTGTAGTCAGCAACAGGTGTCTACAGGGAGGGCCCTGTGTCATCTACTACCCTGAAAGATCTAGAGGTAAGAGGCCCTGGGCCGAGGTTCAGTGACCCTGCAGGCCAGCCCTCCAAGCTCCTCCCACAGTAGGGGCTGGTTGCCTCTCTGCCAGCTGAGACAGCCCAGACACACCCCTCCCCAGCCCCAATGATTGTTCTCTCTACCGCTCCCCGCAATCCTCCTCCAACTCCTCCTCTCTGCATGCACCTCAGAGCCAGTATCAAGAACTAGCAGGAGCCCCGGACTCAAAGCTCCGTAATAATCAGTCAACCCAGTGAAAACATCCATTCACTGGGAAGAGTCCAGTGGCGTCCTCTGATTCCACGCTGCCAATCCTGTATTCGTTTCGCCTTGGGGCCCTGAGTAAAGGGGCTAGGGGCCCCTGGTGCCAAGGGAAAATGGGGAGCTGGGGCACGCAGGCCTCACCTGGATGGACCCCAGAGCACAGACCGTGCAGCATGGCTCTTCTGCACTGCCCTCTCTGCTGACTCTCTCTTCTCCAGACACCCCTGCTCGAGTCCTTGCCACACACGCCCTGGGGTTGTTGCCTCTCAGGGAGGCACTAGCCTGACTGTTTGTCAGGGGCCTGTATTTCTGTCCTGACTCAGTCCCTAATTTGCTTTTTGAGTCTGGACAAGCCTTCTCTCCTCCTTGGGCTCGTGTTTCTGGACGAGGTAGAGAGTGTCAAAGGTCTCTGTTCGCTCTGGGAGTCCAAGATTTAAAGGCCCCTAGAATGGAAACCTCAGGGCCAAGGGCTCCTGTCTGTCCTTTTCTGTCTTCTGTCTCCGCTGTGAAGAACCACACCTGGCCTGTAGGTGCTCAGCACATGTTTGTTGAATGAACGCACCTTTCTAAATCACAAGCTGGCAGGACGGGGGGGCCTTCCTCAAACTCTGTCTCTAGAGGTTCACCAGCCCCTATCACCAGGGCCCTTTCGCCCTGTGCTTTGGGCAGGTTCGCACATTGAAGGAGGAGAAGAAGCATAGGATACATCGGGTACAGAAGCTTGGGAGGAGCTTGTTCAAACTCAAACACCAGAGGGGTAAGATGGGGCTGGCGTGACCTGGGAGCAGGACCGGCATCAGAGGGCTGTGGGGGTGGCTTAGAATGCCCCAGGGAGGTGGGTGGATGGAAGGGCTTTGAGGCAGAGGGAGAGAGGTCTGTGCCAGGAGACTGCAAGCCTTGTCATCTGCTTCAGCCTTGGTGTCCCCATCAGCAAAGAGGGAGAAGTGCCCATTGTCAGCCACCCACAGTGCTCTCCATTGAAAGTGGCTTGGAAGATTGGCTACCACCTGGGTGCGAGGGATCCTTAGCAGTGAGGTCAAGTTTGGGAAGCCTGAGAGGAGGAGCTCTGCACCAACGGGAGAATTTTGTTGTTGTTGTTGTTGTTTTTGAGAATCCAGAGACCCTTATTGTCTGCTTCCTTTCTCAGCTGAACCCCGGGCCTCAGATCCCCCAGCAGGGCCCTCTGAGGTGGAGCAGCTACAAGATGAGACCAAACACCTAAGGAAGGAGCTGGAAAGTCTAGGAAGACAGCTCCAGGCCGAGGTGGAAAACAATCAGATGTTGAATCTCCTGAACAGGAGACAGGAGGAGAGGATACGTGAGCAGGAGGAGAGGATACATGAGCAGGAGGAGAAGCTACATGAGCAGGAGGAGAGGATACGTGAGCAGGAGGAGAAAATACATGAGCAGGAGGAGAGGCTATCTGGGCAGAAGGAGAGGATACATGAGCAGGATGAGAGGATACAGGAGCAGGAGTGGCTGCCAGAGCAGGAGAGGCTGCTGGAGGAGGTGAAGAAGCTGTTGGAACGGGAGAGACGGGAGGAGGAGGAGGAGAAGCTGCTAGAGCATGAGAGGCTGCTGAACCAGGTAGAGAAGCTGCTGGAAGAGGAGAGGCTGCGGGAGCACGATGAGAGGCTGCGGGAGGAGGAGAGGCTGCCAGAGCAGGAGAGGCTGTTGGAGCAGGTGGAGAAGCTATTGGAACAGGAGAGGTGGCAGGAGGAACAGGAGAGGCTGCTAGACCATGGGAGGCTGCTGGACCAGGTGGAGGAACTGTTGGAAAAGGAGAGGTTGCGGGAGCAGGATGAGAGACTGCTGGAGCAGGTGGAGAAGCTTTTGGAACGGGAGAGGTGACAGGAGGAGCAGAAGAGGCTGCTGGAGGAGGAGCAGCTGCTGGACCAAGTGGAGGAGCTGCTGGAACAGGAGAGGCTGCGGGAGCAGGATCAGAGGCTGTGGGAGCAGGAGACACTGCGGGAGCTGGAGAGGCTGCGGGAGCTGGAGAGGATGCTGGAGCTGGGGTGGGAAGCCCTCTACGAGCAGCAGGCGGAGCCACACAGCAGCTTCGAGGAGCTGGTGGGTTGCCCCACCTGGGGAGCCTGCCCTCTTCCCTAGCCCTCCAGGCCTTTGTTTCCCCACCTGTAAAATGGGGCATTGTAGCCCTCACATGAAATGGTACTTCTAAAGGCACCTGTGAGCCAGAGCCCTGCTCTGATGGCTGTGGGAGAGAGGGGATGATTTTTCTAACCTGCCTCTACCCTTCCCGGTGCTATGGGAGGCAGACACCAAGTTCTGGGGTCTCCAGCTATAGTGGGTGGCCAATGATTGCTTCTCTCTGTCCAGAACAACGAGAACAAGAGTGCACTGCAGTTGGAGCCGCAAGTAAAGGAGCTGAAGAAGCTGGGCGAGCTGAAAGACACGGTAACCTCTGACCCATCCAAGAAGGGCTGAGAGGTGGGAGGTGCCAGGCCAGAGGCAGCTGCAGCCTGGGAGCTGGTGACCCCAGCACTCTCCAGGGCAGTCCTATGACTGTTTCTTGCTTCCTACCCTCTGAGTTTTACAGGTGGGGAGCGCTGGGCTCCCCCCAGGTCTGGAAATCATCATCCCAGCTAGAGGCATGGAGCCCTCGAGTCACAGGGGAAGAGACAGTGGTATAAGAGGTTGGCCGGGTGCGGTGGCTCAAGCCTGTAATTCCAGCACTTTGGGAGGCCGAGATGGGTGGATCACAAGGTCAGGAGTCGAGACCATCCCGGCTAACACAGTGAGACCCCGTCTCTACTAAAAAATACAAAAAACTAGCTGGGCGAGGTGGCAGGCGCCTGTACTCCCAGCTACTGGGGAAGCCGAGGCAGGAGAATGGTGTAAACCCAGGAGGCGGAGTTTTCAGTGAGCTGAGATCCGGCCACTGCACTCCAGCCTGGGCAACAGAGCGAGACTGCCTCAAAAAAAAAAAAAAGAGGCTCCTTATGTCGGGTGTGGTGGCTCATGCCTGTAATCCCAGCACTTTGGGAGGCTGAGGCAAGAGAAACACTTGAGGTCAGGAGTTTGGGACCAGCCTGGCCAACATGGCAAAACCTCATCTCTACTACAATTTCAAAAAACAAAAAATAATTAGCCAGGCCTGGTGGTGCATGCCTGTAATCCCAGTTACTCAGGAGGCTGAGACATGAGAATCATTTGAGCCCAGGAGGTGGAGGTTGCAGTGAGCTGAGATCACACCACTGCACTCCAGCCTGGGACACAGAGTGACACTGTCTCAAAACAAAACCAAACGGAAAAACCAAAAAGACTCCTTAGATTCGAACTGGATTTCGGCCTCAGTTCCACTGGTTATCATTCAAGTACCTTGCATCTCTACGTCTCTGTTTCTTTAACTTCAAAAGGAAGTTAGCGTTTTCCTTGCAGAGATGCTGAGGATTAAATGAGATAACACATGGAAACAGTAGGCATGTAGTACACTTAGCAGATGGTGGTTGGCTCTCCTTGCTATTCCACCAGTCCGTGGCCTACAGTTTAAATGGTGGGGAAAAGGATGTGAGATTTGAGGCTGGGGAAGGACACATGGGGTTCTAGGCAAGGGAGGCAGTCTCTTAGGCCTGGAGCAAGGGACCAGGGGCCTAGGGAGACCACAGAGCCCCACAGTGCCCTTGCTACCCTATTAATGGGCCAGGAATCCGGAAGCCAGCTAGCAAATACCCTCATGCCCAGGGTCTTCCTGCAGGTGGAGCTGAAGAGCCAAGAGGCTCAGAGTCTGCAGCAGCAGGGAGACCAGTACCTGTGTCACCTGCAGCAGTATGTGGTCGCTTAGCAGCAGGTGGCCACTTATCAGCAGCTGACCTCTGAGAACGAGGTGCTGCACAGGCAGTTACTGCTGCAGACCCAGCTCCTGGACCAGCTGCAGCAGCAGGAAGCTCAGGACAAATCAGTGGCTAAGATGGCCCGCCAAAAGTTGCAGGAGACCCCGGGGAGGGAGTTGCTGAGGACAGGGCCCCGAGAGGGACAACCTGGCAACCTCCATGCCTTCTCACCCTCTTTCCTGGCCTCTTAGGAGCACCTGGAAGCTACCAGCCAGCAGAAACAGCAGCTAAAGCCCTGTTGAGCCTCAGGATCTTCTCCCTGGGGAAGGTACGGGAGACCACACGGAGGAAGAGGCGAGAGCCCCGGGAGGAAAGGGCGACTGTTAGCAGCATAGGATTGAGGAGTTGGAAGAGACCTTTAAGACAGCTGGTCATTATGCCGAACGGGTGTCCGTGCTAAGTTCGGTATCAATATGGTGACCTCCTGGGAGCAGGAGGCCATCAGGTTGCCTAAGGACAGGAGAACTGGCCCAGGTCAGAAAGGGAGCAGGTCAGGTCTCCGGCACCAATCGGTAGTGGGACTGTGCCTGGGCAATATAGCAAGATCTTGGTTCTTAAAAGTAAAAATAAAGAACAGCTCATTCCCCTCTGGGAATGGGCTGATTCAGGGTTACACAGTGAGGGTGGGGGCAGAGGTGGGCCCCCAGTACTTCCCTTGTTGGGTTGTCTGAGGACCCCTCTGGCCAATCCCTAGAGGAGATGGAGGAGGACATCTGGACAGTGAGGAGGAGGAGGCACCTCAGCCCATGCAGGACATCCCAGAGGACCGGGAGAGCCGGGAGGTCAGGTGAGCCTGACTTTCCCTGCCCCTACTTTGTCACCTTCCTCGGCGGTCCCTCCCAGATCCCCTTATGTTCTTGGTTTCCCTGCCTTCTGATTTCTGTGGACTTTCACTCCTTCCGGGAGCCAGTGGTCAAACACCATTTCACCTGTGACCAACAGGTGCACACTCTGAGCCCCAAGGGAAGGGGCTGCGCTCCACCTCCCTGCCCCGGTTGTTCTGTGTGTGTCCCTACAAGAATACTCACCTCTTGCCTTCAGGTGGCATTTTTCAACTTCGCTGGAGCCAATGCCCAGGAAGAGCAAATGGTATGCTGGCAGCCCCTGGTTCACCCAGTGGCTTCATCCCAGAGGACCCCAGGGACTGGGGGTGAGTCTGTGTGTGGGGAGACCCACTGAGCCCTGCAGGGGGCCATGGAAAAGGTGCAGCTGAGTAGGTCCTGGCATGGGCCAATAACGGTGTGGGTGGGGCAAGGCAGGTGGTTCTTGAGATGTGACCCCATTATTTTGGCTCCAGAGCGACTTTATGGAGGACAAAGTGGACCTGAAGGAACCAGTGGAGTAACTGGAGCTTCGATTCATCCACCTCTTGGGACAGACATCATAAGTGAGCGGGAAGCCAGGGTACGGCAGGGGGAGCTGCTGGGCCGTCAGAGGGGCCCCAGCCTCTGAGTGTGTCCTCCCGCAGGAAACTACATCAGCCAGGGGGCAGTGCCAAAATGCGTCACTGGGAGAGGAGGACATCATCAGGCTGGCCCAGGACCAAGAGATGCAAGTAGGGTGTGCAACATCTCTGTGGGGGTGGGAGTGGGGGTGAACTTGGGCACTGGCACCAGCATGGCAGCTAAGCACCCCTCCCTCCAGATGAACCTGCTGGAGCTGCAGGGACAGGTGTTGCGGCTTGTGGGCGACCACAATGAGGGGCACGACAAATTCCTGACCACTGCCCAGAGTCCTGGTGATCAGGCCGCTCTAGGAGCCCCAATCCCCCTGGAGCTTGGGTGTGCTGACAAGCAGGGTGGTGGGTAGAGCGCTCAGGCGGGGTGGGCGGGCAGGAGCAGGGGAGGCTCACACTGACCTCAGATCCCCTCCTCCCTCTGTCTGAAGATCTTCGTGGCTGAGCCTCACTGACAGCGTGGAGCCTGCACCAGGAGAAGCCAGAGAAGGTTCTCCCCATGACAACCCCACTGCACAGCAGGTCGTGCAGCTGCTTCCTCTGACGCAGGACTCTCCAGGAGCACCGAGGCTTGCGCAGCAACCCCTGCATGCTATTCTTTTCGGGCTGCCAAGAACAGGGAGATAAACCATCACTATCATCTAAGAGCTGGTCAAGAAAAAAAAAATAAAAAAACTTAAGGGGTTAATCTCCTACACAATTCATTTACTTCATTTGAATGTTAGAGCCACTCACATTTATTTGTGTTTTTCTAATTTATAGTTTAAATTTATTTGTAAAAAGTTAAAGGAGAGTGGGTCTTTCCCTCATGTTCACTGTGACATCCTTTAGCACCTTTTTTTTATTTGATAACTGTAGGTCATTAGCATGCATATCGAGTTCGCCCTTAGGTGGTGGGATTTCAAACACGCAAAGACCCACTATTTGCACAAAACTGTTCTTGCAGGTTTGGAATAGGCTGCCATGTTTTTTTAATGTTATTGCAGCATGTATATTCATTACGGAATTCAGATAAAATTTGCCTATGTTCTGCTAGTATGCTTGATCCACTCCTAATCACAGTGAGCTCTTCATTATCTCAATATGTGGTTTGCCCTCAAGTACGCTGTTTATTAGTTTGTAATGTGCCACTGTGAGTAGTGACATTTACAGTTGTTTAAAGCTGGAGCACTGGAGAGAGCCTTTCCCCCTTTTTCTGTGCATTGGGAATGGGAGGAGTAACACTTTGGGGAGCTTTTTTTTTTTTTTTTTGAGATTGAGTCTCACTCTGTTGCCCAGGCTGGAGTGCAGTGGCGCGATCTCAGCTCACTGCAAGCTCCACCTCCTGGGTTCACACTATTCTCCTGCCTCAGCCTCCCGAGTAGCTGGGACTACAGGCACCCACCACCACACCTGGCTAATTTTTCTGTCTTTTTTTAGTAGAGATGGGGTTTCACCGTGTTAGCCAGGATGGTCTCCATCTCCTGACCTCGTGATCCGCCCGCCTCGGCCTCCCAAAGTGCTGGGATTACAGGCGTGAGCCACCACGCCCAGCCTGGGGAGCTTTTTAAATCTCCCAAAAGAGGAAAGTGGCCTGCTCTGGCAGGTGTGTACAGGATAGAATATGTTTCACTTGTTCTGGTACCAACAATGAGTGTGGTACTATGGTAGTTCCCTTAGGATTTGTATGTGCTCTGGGCTCATGAAGATATTACATCATGAGCTGGGGCAGTTGTACTCTTTTCTGATGACCTAAAAAGGGGTTATTTCTGAGGAAGAAAGACTTAAAGTCCTGTTCTTGCTTTTTTTTTCTGAACTTGCCGCTTTTGCATTCCTTGAGTTCAGTTTAAAGGCAGTTACTTTAAGTCCATTTTAAACTCTCGGGCTAGAAATCGTACCACTGTTAATTAGCCACATTATTTGGTCTAACATTTTTTCTTTACAATTCTGAAACTGGGTTTATCTAACACATTGATAAATTATTTCAAAGGTATTTTTGTAGTTCAAATCACTTCACTTTTACCCTGACACATATAAATGACTAGGAATGACCTTCAGATCACGTTTAGCATCTGTAACCAATCTGACAATAATGTGTTCATCAGGTACCTATGGATTAAATCACATACTGGCATATTTAAGCTGAATGTCAGTCTGGAAATAAATTTACCATATTAACTGAAATACCACTGTTTGTGTAGGTATTTTTGTCATATATTTAAGAAAAAGCTAAAAAGGATGGAAATCATATTACAATAACTTAAGTCTTTCTTCAAAGTGTGTGCAGTCTTTTGCAATACCTCATTCGGCCAAGTATTTGTTCTCTTTCTCATTCAGTATAAGGCAGCTTTCAATTTGCTTAGCAGGCAACATTAGAAGGTTAGAGTTCAGCAGAAACATAGAATTTTAAAATGTGAGTTCAACCGAATAAATTTGAATTTTTGTAGGAGGTAAAGAATCAAAATACTTGTATATTTAAAGATTGCAGTATATGATAATCATTTTGAAGTATTTGATTAAAACTAATAGGTTTTCCAGAAATTAAAAAAAACAATTTTAAAACCAAAGCAGATTTCTAGAAAATATGAAAATGTAAATCAGCCCTATCCGGAATATAGTTTCTGTAAAACTTAGTCATTTTACAATAGTATAACTATTAAAAAATGTAACTGCTATTTTAATGTTTTGAAATAAAACATTTTAAAATATGAATACTGTAGCTTAAAAGAAAGAAATTGGAGAAGGAAAAGTAGAGAAAGAAATGCCAATTCCAGTCCAAAACTTTATTTGCCAGGTTTTCTTATGATGACTTTTACCAATTTATGAATTATTATAAACAGAATCTATATGGAAATACTGAAAGACTTTTGCCTAAAGTGGCTTATTGAATACTGCTATGATGCTACTGTAATGTCATAAATTATTGTTACAAAGTACTGTTTTTGCCTTAAGTTTTTATTTTGTGTGTCTTGAAAACTATAGTATTAAAGGTATTAAGATTGTGCAAATGCTGGGCACACTTGGCATTAAATAATGTTTTTATTTTTACAAAATTATAGTATGACCATGCAAGTATTTAATTAATTAATTAATTTTGAGATGGAATCTCACTCTGTTGCCCAGGCCAGAGTACAGTGGTGCGATCTTGGCTCACTGCAACCTCCGCCTCCCAAGTAGCTGGGACTACAGATTCATGCCACCATGCCCAGCTAATTTTTGTATTTTTAGTAGAGATGGGGTTTCACTATGTTGGCCAGGCTGGTCTCAAACTCCTGACCTCGTGATCTGCCCACCTCAGCCTCCCAAAGTGCTGGGATTACAGGCATAAGCCACCGTGCCTGGCTTCAAGTGTTTATCAAAAGAACACAAACTGAAAAAATAGTTACGGGATTTTAAAAAGTTAGGAGATTTTAAAAAGTTATGGGATTTAAAAAGTTATGAGATTAAAAAGTTGTGGATAAAGTTACATTATGGGATAAAAAAGTTATGGGATAAAAAATGTTATGGTCAGTGGCTCACGCCTTGTAATCTCAGCACTTTGGGAGGCCAAGGTGGGTGGATCACCTGAGGTAGGGAGTTTGAGACCAGTCTGACCAACATGGAGAAACCCCATCTCTACTAAAAATACAAAATTAGCCGGACGTGGTGGCGAATGCCTGTAATCCCAGCTACTCAGGAGGCTGAGGCAGGAGAATCGCTTGAACCCGGGAGGTGGAGGTTGTGGTGAGCTGAGATTGTGCCATTGCACTCCAGCCTGGGCAACAAGAGTGAAACTCCATCTCAAAAGAAAAATTAAAAAGTTATGGAAAAAAGTTGTGGAAAAAATTCCAAAAAAAGGTTTATGAAAAAATTTATGTGATAAAAATTAAATAAATAAATAAAAGCAGGCCACTGTCAGCAAAGCCTGGAGAAGTGTCGAATTGGGGAGACAGGTGCAGATGAGTTGAAGATCACCGTCATCCAAAAGCAGGGAACTAGGCCCGGGGCTATAGCTCGCACCTGTAATCCCAGCACTTTGGGAGGCTGAGGTGGGCAAATCACCTGAGGTCAGGAGTTGGAGACCAGCCTGGCCAATATGGTGAAACTGTCTCTACTAAAAATTTAAAAAATTAGCCAGGCGTGGTGGTGGGTGCCTGTAATCCCAACTACTCAGGAGACTGAGGCAGGAAAATCACTTGAACCCAGAAGGCGGAGGTTGCAGAGAGCCCAGATGACACCACTGCACTCCAGTCCGGGTGACAAAGACTCCACCTCAAAAAAAAAAAAAAAAAAAAAACAAAACAAAAAAAAAAAACCTTAATTAAAAAAAGAAAGCAGGACCCTGTCAGCAAAGCTTGGAGAAGTGGGGCCGGAGGCTCCATCCCCACCATGTCCCTATCACCCCTTCCCAGTCACTCCTTTACCATTTGAGTAGCAAGACAAGACCCCTGTCTAATGGGGAGAAACAAACAGACCCTTTGCCACCTTGGCCAGGGCTGAGTCCTTAAATTTCTGGTGATGATGATTGTGATTTAAGAGGCAGAGGCTGATGGAGTTGGTTTGTTTAGAGGAGGCCTGATGGCCTCCTTACTCTCACCAAAGCAATTTTTCCCTCAGCGAAGCTCGTGTCTTCTTACTCGGAGAGGCAGATGAGGCAGGACAGTGGGACTAACTGTAGACCAGGCGAGGGCACGGACTGCTGGGGGTGGCCCCCCTTCCCCCATGTACATATTGTTTCTGTGTAACGTTTTGTATATTCCGGGGGGTAGGGCTGCCCCTGTATTGTTCCTAGTGGAGATTGGAGCTGGCACGGGGGAATGGGGGATGGAAGCGGGGGAAGGTTCTAATAATTATTCGCAGCTGGGGAACTTATTTGATAGCATAGGACAGAGGAAGGAGACGGGGTTGGGTTCGTGGCTTCCTGGCGATGCGACTCCTGTTTATTTTGCTTTTTATTTGGGAATAAATGGATTTAACCATACTGCTAGCCCGGCATGTTTCTGTTTCCCTCACTGGGTCCTGGAGTTTGCGCCACTGAACGAGGAGCCCCAGAGTGTCTGAGCATGTCCAACTGGGCTGTTGGGGACCTCCCAGGCCTGTTACCTGTATGCTGCCTGATGACGCCTGGGGGATTCCACGGCACCTATGGGGCACAGTCCGGCCCTGACGGCCAACAGGCTCAGAAGCCTCATCTAGCGGTGGCTGGGAAGGCAGGATGCCAGCACCCAAGGGCACTGACTTCCATGCACATGAGGCGGCTTCCTTTCGGCCACCCTGCCTCCCTCGCCTGTCTGCACCTAGTGGCTTATTCTCTGTCCCTCCGGAGTGCCGACGCCGCTCACCCTCCCTCCAGGCTGAGTTCATGGCCCTGCCCCCTAGTGGCCAGAACCGGCTTCACAGGATGAGAGCCGCTAAGCTCCAGGGGCTTTCCAGGAAAAGTGTCCCTCGGAAAGTATGTGGCCTCTTCACTGCTCCCAATACCCTAGTAATGGCTTGGCCTTTCCCCTCCGCTCAACTCCACAGACAACACAGCCAGGAGAGGACACATTCCCTGTCATCCAGAAATGGGTTTGCTTGTCAGCCAAGGGACAGCAGGACTGTCAGGCCACATGGCAACCCTCATTCTTGGCAGGGGGTGGGAGGGATGGCAGGGCTGGTTGTCCACAGGCCAGGCATGACAGGAAGGCCCATTGGATGT